TAGATAACTTTAAAGCGGAGTGGATGAAGCAACACCAAGTTCATAATGAGAAGTCCAGGATACATGGTCCCTTAATGTCCCATGGTTAGGCATTCAGTGATTCAGCCTGAGCCAGGCTGGATCACAAAAGCTAAATGGTAGAACAACTTCTACTGCAATCTAAACTCAATGCAAAGCCATCTTTTGGTCTACTCCATGCTCCTACTGGCAACCTTCAAGGTGATCACCTTTTGGAGTTGTTCATTCTGTTGTCCCTCCCTTATCCTCAACCCCCAAATCCACCAAGCAGTTTTTGTGGTAGTGGTGTGAAGTGCAGAATTGTTTTGTGCCTTGAAGGGAATATTTCAGCATGCTTCATGCAAACCTCATTGAGTTTTTAGCCACTGAACTTTATGGGGTTTCAGTCCACTCTCTGGTTTACACAAGTCTTTGAAAAGTACTTCTTGTTCTATCTTCTCATTGTATCTAATCAGTATAACACCATCATTAGAGTTGCAGGATGATTTGTGGACTAATGGTATGGCAGATAGCAAAAGAACTGATGCTTTTCAATGGCAAGACTCTGAGAGTATACTGTTGTTTAGCCAAGTAAAGGAAGAATGCTTCTTGTAAGATGATAAGGAGAAAAGGGGATTAGACAGGCCACGGCTGCATATCAGACTGGTTCGATGAAGATTAGCACATCAGATTATATGGGTCAGATAGTCAATGTGGGGATTCTTTAACTTACTTAAAGATGTCTACCAAGTATACATTCTGGAACTGGGGAGGAAATCATAAAGTAGCTCTACAGATGAACTGGAAGACTACTGTGAGTCAAGCTTAGTAAGATTTTTATCTCTCACCTGAACATAATAATCCGTCTTTTGCTGATGGGCCACAGTTGGTATTTTAGGCACCCAGGAATTAGCTTCAGTTCTGAGCCAGCATCTAGCAATCTCTATAAGGTCTAGGTATTTACAGCTCCTCAGTATGCAGTCATTGTTGTAAGTGGCTACATTTACCTCGATGAAGGCTTGCAGGAAAGTTTATGGTATGTATTATGCCAAGGTGCAAAGTCCTTCCTCAAGAATATCTGGTCTCTTTAATCAAGAGATTTGGGTCTGAGAGATGACTTTAGTCTGGAAAATAGGCGATAGGCTTAAGTCTATTAACTGTGACAGCTCAGGTCAGAACAAAACTCTCTTGGGTTTTCTTCCTTATTCTCATCTATGTTGCATTACTGGAGTCCCCATGTCTGCTTCTTAGGATCCTGACAGGACAAAACACTTAGATTACAGCTCTGTGGAGCTGATGTGCACACTTTCCCCAATGAAGTGCTGCCACTTCTGTCCACCCTCTCAATGAAAACCAAGAAGCTCATTGTGGTGATGGGATTCCCCCAGGTAGCATGTCCATATCTGGCTTACGAAGAGGAGCAAGCACAGAACTCTTCAAAGGTGCAGGTATCCCGTTCTCTAAAGCATTTTCATTGTCTCAGAGAAAGAACTTCTAAGTCTTCCTTCCTGTAGCTCTTGTGTTTGTGTGTTGTATGTGGGTCAATGTGACATATGATAAATCCAGAGCAAATCTCTATTCCCTTCTCTCATAATTGAGCTTCCTCTTCTACATCATGTGTCACCATCTGCATTCAATGTTAAAGTTCAGTAAACTTACCAAGTAATTCGGTGGGCACCTTCAGTTTCATGAACCAACACAATAAGATTGGGAGTGTGTGATCTAGTATTGATGAAGTGAGGAGAATGGGTCTAAGCAAAAAGTGTTCTTGATTTCCCTTGTTTGTATCCACATTATGTGGACACAATTTGTTTTGGCTTATATTTAACATCTTCATTAGATTTGAGTGTTCACTGCTCTTTTATTTGTGTTCACATCTCATTTGCTTTCTACTTCATTAAGATTAATTCCATGCACCTTCTGTGGTTTTTGGCCATATAACTGGTGTGTTAGTTGTATTCAGAGCAGTAGGGTTTTGTGATTGGAGTCCCTCTGCTGCTGGCTAGTGCTCCAATAAGGACTCCAAATTTGGCTCCTCTGTTCTTGTGACTGGATCTACCATACAGTATCACCTACTGCCCTCCTAGATCAAAACACAGATCTATTTCCATGCTGTTTCCTAGATTGCTACTGGTGCACATTAGCAAAATTTTTGTAATTTGTTTGGTATGCAAACTTTTATCCTATGTCAGTGTGTATTTACCCAGCAAAAGCACTCACATTGGACCATAGTTATGGATCTAATGGCGTGGTGCAGACTAGCAATGGGTTGGTTGTGGTGGGTCTGGTGGAGAATGATCCTTTTTAAACTGTCAGCTCTAGATGATGATTTTTCAGTTTTTTCTAGCAAAGATGACTAAAGTCTCCTCAGACATGAAGCAATAAGCCACTTCCACTGCCAATAAAGGATCTGGGTGAATTGGGTATTCAAGAATGCCAATTATCTGTCTGGGCAGAGAATTTCAAGTTTGGAAGTTTTATTCCTTATTGTATTCTTTATTCTTTCCCAACTGATGCCTTAACTTTCACAAGAAAAACTCCGCAAGGCCATAAATTGAACTAACATTGTGATTGAGCCCATAGGGAGGTATCAAAGACTGCTAGCTATTGTGACTGAAGAGTCTGGCTAGAAAGCACATCCAGGAATAAGCAATAACAGCCTTTCCTCTTCTAATTGTCACCCAAAATCCTCTACTGAGGAAGCTTACTGTTCATTGTACTATTGACAAGGTAGAGAGGATCCAATATTCTAAACCAGGCAATGAAGGGTGGGCTTGGAGCTGAGAATCCATGGGGCTAATGGGCAACACACTTGATCCACATTCATTCTCCCAGTCTTTACTACTATCACCAACACCCAAATCATACATAAACACTACAAATAGAAAGAAAGAAAGTCTCAAATGAGCATGCCAAGACCACAAAGAACATCTAATAGAATATATATACATGGATTGAGTCTACTGGCTCTAGCACGTTAAAGTTCTGTGTCCTGGAAATCTCTCAGTCCCAGATAAATGAATTGATTTCTCACCCTACATGGGTCCATGACGTTTCCAAACTTTCTATGCATTAAAATTACCTTAGGCACTGCTAAAAATGTTAGTGATCCCACTTAAAAAAAAATACAGTGGTTTCAGATGCCAACAAGTGATGAACTTTTTTTTTTTGAAACATTCTACTTGGGGACTTAACAAGTGTCAAACACTACTTTTAGAGACTCCTCAATCCAGGCTTATTAGTTTCTGATCCAAAACTATAATCACAGAAAAGAAACAGCATCCTTTATAAGATACAGCCAAGGTTCCTGAGCCAGAAAACAGACTTTGACAAATTACTGTGGATGGGGGGGGGGGGGTAAAAATTATAAGCTTGGCTTTCTGTCCTTTGAGTTCGAGAATAAATGCCTTTTCCTTCAATGTCACAACACATAACAAAGAATAATGGGTGCTGTGAAAATTGGACTTGCTAGTGGCAGCAATACATGTACATTGATGGGGGTACACTGAGCTTCCTACAGGTGCATGATGGGATACCCTGGGCTTGCTGCATCAAAGATTAGATTTATTTTAAAGATTTCCATAGGGACCTTGTTGTTGTTGCATGTTACAGAATAACTTGCACAAAATTGTTAATTCTGTGTCACATTGACCATATTCACCTGTAAGGTACGTGGTTTATCATGACCACTTTAAAGATGTTTCTCAAGAAGTTGGATTGGGGAGAGAAGATCCTCTTAAAACTTTTTAGATTTACGGAATTTCTGGGTTTTTTGTTTTTTGTCGTGGAGCCTTAACTCTGGGCCTGGGCTCTGTTCCTCAGCTCTTCAGCTCAAGGTGAGCGCTCTCCCACTTGAGCTACAGCACCACTTCCGGTTTTCTGGTGGTTTATTGGAAATAAGAGTTTCACGGACTTTCCTGCCCGGGCTGGCTTTGAACCAGGATCCTCAGATCTCAGCCTCCTGAGTAGCTAGGATTACAAGCGTGAGCCACCAGTCCCCGGCAGATTTACGGAATTTCTCTATTATGTCCCAGGCAGAATTGTAAATTCTTTACGTTTATCATCTTATTAAATGTTCCTGACGGAGCTGTGACCATTTTAAAAAGAAGTGGAGTGCGGGGAACTGGTAGCTCACGCCTGTAATCCTAACTACTCGGGAGGCTGAGATCTCTGAACTGCAGTTCGAAGCCAGCCCGGGCAGGAAGGTCTGTGAGAAGCTATGCTTAGAAACGGAGCCCAGACCCTGAGTAGTTCAAGCCCTGGGACAGGGGAGGGGGTGGGGGAGGAACAGTAAAAAAGACGAAATGGAGAGTTGGCCTCACACTTCCTATTTCGTACGAGGTTCCGTTTGGAATGAAACTGAGCCATTTGTTTAGCACTGGAGCGGCTAGATGTCTACAGCCTGAGGCCATGCCCTGAGGAATGCTCGGGTTGCAGTGGGAACACACAGGAGGCGCATCTTAGGCTCTCCTAGCCTTTCTAGATAAATCACACATCGTTTGCTGGGCACACCAGGACCTGGCCCCAGCTCCATCGCTTTCCCGCCAGCTCCGCTGCAACGCACTCGCTCTCTCTGAATAGTTCCAAGATGCAAACGCTTGGGCGATCAGCAGAAGTCCTGAGGCCCTAGGCCTGGGAGACACGTCTGCATTCCCACCTCAGCCCTAACCCGCCCTTCACACCGCTCCTCCGCACCCCCAAACCCACCCGGGTCACCGAACTCGTCCACCTCCAGCGAACCGGACCTCTGGGCGCCGGGATTAGGAGGCGGTCCGGAACTTCCTGGCGCTCACCGGAAACGGCAGTGACGTCGCGAGGAAGTGCGTGAAGCCACGGGCCTGTGGTTGGTAGTTACTGGAGTTGGTGTCTCACTGTTCAGGGTCCCGGGACCTCCGGCGGCGGTGACCGAGGCTGAGGGTGTCCGTAGCCGTGGGGTTTGCGTTAAGGCCGAGCGTCGCAGCTTTCCTCAGGGGTGCGTAGAGGAGGCGGGGGGGGGGGCGACTTCCGGGCTAGCCGACGCTCCCCTGGTCCGCGCGCATCCCCTGCTGCACCTCGCCCGGGAGGGAGGAATTGAGGGAAGAAGCCGGGGCTCGGAAGCCAATAAGAGTTGAAGCCACGCACGTGAGTTCCAGCCGGCACCAGCGCCCTGGGCCTGGGCTCGGCTGTGGGGTTCCACGCTTTATCTGCATGGACAACCACGGCGAGACCAAACAGGTTAATAGACTAAGGGTCTGGGTTGGGGCCTGGACTCCTGCACTTGAATACTTGCTTCCTGACAAAGTATTGCTCCCGAATGAATGGAGCCGGCACGTAAGCAGGTGGTAGACGCTCTGGGAACCATAGCTAGTGGTGGTGGTGGTGTTTTTAAGGCCTCAATTCAGAGAGGGGGGAAATGTCGTATAGAGGTGGGTGTTCCTTCACACACCCTGTGGGGCCGTAGAGTTGGTTTTGATTCTGTCAGTAATTCTTTGGGGCGGAGGGTAGCCTCTGTAATGCATAAGCCTGTGATTCTTATCACCTAGGGAAACATCTACGTATGGATTCCTGGACCTAGCTCAGCTCAGCTCCATTGAATCAGACCAACGGTTGGGGCGGGGGTGGGGTGGGGTGGAGTTAGAATCTCCAGGTTAAACGAGCTGTAAAATAAGCTTGCTACCTTTGAGACGTTTTTTGTTTGTTTGTTTTTGTCTGTCGTGGGGCCTGAACTCTAGGCCTGGGCACTGTCCCTCAGCTCTTCAGCTGAAGGCTAGCACTCTACCACTTGAATGTCAGCCCCACTTCTGGCTCTTTTTTTTCTGCTTATGTGGTGCTGAGGAATCGAACCCAGGGCCTCATGTATGCAAGGCAAGCGTTCTACCACTGAGTCACCTTCCCAGCCCCCCTTTGAGAAGTTGAAGGATGAAGATTTCATAGACAAAGAAGTGTAGATCGATTCAGAACACGTGGCCTGACTGCCTCTGGTTTTGTTTTGTTTTTGTTGTTATAGTTGTGAATGCGTTTGTATTTGCCAAAGGGCTTAAACCTACCTCCCTTCGTTCCTCCCTCCCTCCCTCCTTCCCTCCCTCCCTCCTTCCTTTCTTTCTTCCTTCCTTCCTTCCGGTTGGGCTTTGTCCCTGAGCCTCTCTTTACTCAAGGCTAGCGTTCTACCACTTGAGCCACCGCCCCACTTTTAGCTTTTTCTGAATAGTATGTTAGTGGTAAGAGTCTCATGGATTTTCCTGCCTGGGCTGGCTTCCACCAGCCTCCTGAGTAGCTAGGATTACAGGCATGAGCCATTGGCACCTGGGTGGCTTCAACTCTTATTGGCAAAAATGTCAAGTCAGAATTACTGGTTATTGCGTGCTGGATTTTTGTCAATTAGCAAAAAAAAAAAAAAAAAGACTAGAACTCCAATAAAATGTAGGGTTTTGTTTGTTTTGAGTCGTTGCGGGGCTTGAACTCTGGGCCTGGGCCCTGTCCCTCAGCTCTTCAGCTCAAGGCTAGCACTCTACTACTTGAGCCACAGTGCCACTTCCGGTTTTCTGGTGGTTTATTGGAGATAAGAGTCTCATGGACTTTCCTGCCCCAGCTGGCTTTGAACTGTGATCCTCAGATCTCAGCCTCTTGAATAGCTAAGATTACAGGTGTAAGCCACTGGCGCCCTTCTAAAATGTAGTTTTTTAATCTACCTACCATGAATTTTTTTCCTGAATGACCTTGGGTAAGTCTCTAAACCCTGAGGTCCACAACATATTGGCATATAATTATGGACATACACTACTGTTCATAAAGATAGACAACAAAATCTATCATAAATCAGTTCTTTGAAGGTGAGCCATGGCCATTTTAAATGTTCTTTTTTTAATGATACTGGTGTTTGAAATTAGAGCCTTACATTTGTTATACAAGTGCTCTACTGCTGAACCATACCTCCAGCTATATTTTTATTTTCTCAATTTAATGGGTACATTGTGATGGTTTGATTTATTTTACCTTTAGAATGATTAAATCAAGCTAATAAATTTTACTGGTAGAAACATTTAACTTAGCCATTTGGAAGTGCACACTGCACTGCTATTTATTGTAGTCACCATTTGCATATGAGGTCATTAAAACATATTTCTCTTGTCTAAATGAAGCTCTTTACCCTTTGATCAGTATTTTCCTTTCCCCATATATCTTCCTCCACTTCTTAGTACTTTCCATTGTAGTTTAGTTTACTTATTTTACTTTTAGTCAAACTAAAAAGTTTGACTCTGTAGATCCCATGTGTAAGATTGTTCACAATGTCTTTCTGTGCCAGTCAACACACTTCCAGGAAAGTTTGCAGCCAATAATAGTAAAATATGGAAATGCACTTCAAAACTGAGTCTTGACTTGTTTTTCAGTGTCTGGGTATGGCACAATGTCATTTCTGTTTCCTTATGCTTTCTTGGAGAGTAATGAAAATGTGGTTTATTATGAGTTCCAGTTTTAAAATTCAACACTCACATTCTTGTGAAAGAACTATGAGCTTACAAAAGGTAAATCAGCCGTTCTGAGGGACTTAGACACGTTTGATGTGATGATAGTTTTATATAGAAGCGTGGATTGTTGGATCTTCTGCCTGAAAGGATTATCATTGTGCCTTAACTAGCCAGACTCTCACAACCTGAACTAAATATACATTTGTTTTTAAAAAACAGACTTGTGGTTTGAATCAGGAATGAAATCTTCTGAAAGCCAAGACCAGAAGGCTTTTTGTTCAGAATGGAAGACAAAAGACGGCAAGCCCGAGTGCAAGGAGCCTGGGCTGCTCCTGCAAAGAAGCGAGCGGCTGCTCAGCCAGGTGAGAACCTAACAGGCTGTGAGTGTGTGTCAATGGATCTTGACAACCATGTCCGTATGCATTGATAGTGATAGTGATATTTTGTGTTCCTCCTATTTATTTAGTACCCTTCAACTTTCTAGAGTATGTTGAGGTCTTCTATTGACCTGGTCAGTTAATTTGATATATTATAGAATCATCCGCAAGAGGGTGTTTTTGGCTTCCGCCTCGTAGAAGATGACACAAATAGACTTTTTCCTGCTTTGAGGCTGTTCTCTCTCCTGTTTCAGCTACCACTCCTAGGAGCCATCTCCATCAGACACCTGGTCAGAACTGGAGGAACAAGGAACATTCACTGTCTGACAGACTGTTTATATTCAAAGAACCCCAGCAGGTACTCAAATAGTGACTGAATAAATTTACTAATGAATAATAGAACAAAAAGAACTATAGTAATAATGAAATATGAACTATTTCATCAGGAGTCAGTGACTTGTGCCTGAAATCCTAACTGCTTGGGAAGCTGAGATTGATGGGTTTCAGTTTCAGTCAACCCAGGCAGAAAAGTTCATGAGACCCTCTTTTCAATCCATAGTTAGATAAGGTGTTACATGCCTGTCATGCCAAGTTATATACAAGTCTGAGATAGGGAGAATCACAGTTTCAGGCCAGCCTGGACAGAAAAGTCCATAGAGACCCCATTTCCATGGGAAGCTGGGCATGGCTGGACCTGACACGGGCCCTGTAATCCCAGCAACTATGAAATCCTAAAGGAGGCAGTTGTAGTCTAGGCTAGTGCCTAAGTGAAAAGCGAAACTAAACTCCTCATCCTAAAAATAACCAGTGAAAAACAGTGCCAGCCCAGCAAACTTGAGGCTTTGTTCAAAGCCTTGTGATGCCAAAAAAAAAGGGAAAAGAAAAATATGACCTCCATTATCTGATAGAGGCTTCTTCATATTCTGCCCCCTGTATGTAGCTGCCTATTTATTTGGCACAGAGACAAAATAGTGAGCAGAGACTAGAAGTTCATACCACAGGTGATCTAAGCTCTGACAGTTTAATATCTGCTGTCTGTCTGCTGTTACTATGCCAAATATTTAATACTCAGTTATTGTAAGTAAATTTCAGTTATTGTAGCAGAAGGTCTGCTTCCTAACGTTTTCCCCCCATGGAGCAAAATAGAAGAAATAGAAGATTTACTTTTTTTTTAAGTAAGTAAGAGTGCTTGGATCATACCCAGGGCCGTGTGCTTGCTAGGCCAGTGTTCTACCACTGCGTTATACACCCATTCTCATTTCTTTTATTTTGCAATTTTTCATTTTTGGAGGAGGGACAGTACTGGGGTTTGAACTCTGTGCACTCCTAGGCTACTTACTGCTACTTCTTCAGCTCATCTCTAAGCCCTACTTTCGTTTTTTTAATGATTTTTTTTCTTTTTTTGAGACAAGGTCTTCTTATGTATCCCAGTCTGTTCTGAAGCCCACTACATAGCCTAAACTAGACTTGAACTGTAGGTCTTCCTGCCTCAGCTTTCAGAGTGATGCAATTATAGGTGTGCTTTATCACACTTTTAGCTTTTTTTTTTTTTTTTTTTGCCAGTCCTGGGGCTTGGAACTAAGGGTCTGGGCACTGTCCCTGTGCTTCTTTTGCTCAAGGCTAGCACTCTACCACTTGAGCTACAGGGCCTCTTCTGGCTTTTTCTGTGTATGTGGTACTGAGGAATTGAACCTGGGGCTTTATGCATGTTAGGCAAATACTCTACCACTAAGCCATTTCCAGCCCATGCCTCATTTTAAAAATAAGGATAAATGAGTTTTAAAACTCAGGTACCATGCTATGGCAATGATTGCATAAATATCAAAAGTTTTATTTTTCTAGTATATATACTGTTTATAAAAAATTTAGGCTGGGGCTGGGAAGGTGGCTCAGCGGTAGAGTACTTGCCTTACATGCATGAGGCCCTGGGTTCGATTCCTTAGCACCACATTAGCAGAAAAAGCCGGAAGTGACACTGTGGCTCCAGTGGTAGAGCGCTAGCCTTGAGCTGAAGAGCTGAGGGACAGCGCCCAGGCCCAGAGTTCAGGCCCCATGACCAGCAAAAAAAAAAAATTTAGGCTATGTGTGCAGGCTCACATCTGTAATCCCAGCTACTTAGGAAGTAGACATTGGGAGGATTGTGGTTCAGCAGCAGATTGCACAAAATGTTAGTCAGATGAGACCCCATTTCAATAAATGCTGAGCATGATGGTATGTGCCTGTGTGTAGAAGGTGGGAATAAGACTATGCTCTGGGCTGACCTGGACAAAAATTCAAGACCCTACTTGAAAAAATAACTAGAGCAAAAAGGTCTGTGGTAAGGTACCTACCTATCAAGCATGAGACCTAAATTCAAACCCTAGTACCACAAAAAAAAAATTAAAAATGTAAAAGTTTTTATGTAAAGAAGGTTTCTCTAGAGCTGCTGCTCAGTAGGGAAACAGATTAATTTTAATTGTATTCTTTTTTCAGTCTGCTTGCAAGTGTGAAATAGGTCTTTTAAAAAAAGGTCAGAAACAGACTATTGATAGGTTGGAATGAAAAAGGGATAGTAAACCTGACTTGCATTCACCAGAAATGAGAGGAAATGGAAAATCAGTGTAACCCTTGGGAACCATTCCAGAACTAAGATCTACCTGTTTCCTTACAGGTAGTCCGTAGAGCCCCCGAACCACGTGTGATCGAGTAAGTACTTTGATTCCATCCTGTAATTGCTGCCCACAATGAAAAAAAGAGCCAGGAACTTTCCCTTAACCCTGAGTTTTTCCGTCTGGAACAGAAGGGCCCAGTAAGCCTCTTCATTTTAGACTGGAAAATTCCAATCTCAATCTTCAAATTTGAAAAGACTTTCTAAATTTACTGATGGTACAGAAATTGTAACAAGATCGCTATACATTAATTTTGACTCTTGTGTGGCTTTTCTGGCCTCCTCTTGCTGGTATCTGTAGCCGGTAAGCTAAAACACATCTTAGCTAAATTTGGAAGGGATCTTTCCCAAGTTGTTTGAGCTCGGCTCTTTGAGAAGTCACTAAGTACCATTTTGCTGGTGGTGCTTAAGAGGCTCTGCCGCAACCTAGATGACCTTAGCGAACATTATTAAAACCATATGATTGTTACAAAAGCAATTTAACTGGTGCTAAATGTTCTTACATTGATCTGGTCTAAAGTGGTAAGAAAAATGCCTTGCTTCTCTCTTCCCAATTATCAATTTCTACCTCATAAAGTTTGTCAATAAAAGCTATCCCTTTATTTTAGCAAATTAGTATCAGATAGGTGTTCTTGATCATAAACAATCTCCTATGCTATTCAGCTGTTTGTAGGATGATTTGGATATCTTAGAAGAATTTGAAACTAACACAAATGTCAACATAAGTTCAAAGAGTATCTAGCCTTGTCTTTGCCATTAATTAAGTCTAAAAAGACCTGTGGTAAGTTCCTCCCATATCTCTGGATATCTTTTTTTCCTTGTCTGTAAAAAGATTTGGACTAATACAATCACTGAAGGCCTAGTCTAATTCTAATAATCTTTGTTTTGAAAATACCAATTTGTCCAGACACTGGGGGCTCACGCCTGTAATGGTAGCTACTCTGGAGACAGATCTGAGGATTGAGGTGTGAAACCAGTCTAAGTTAGACTCTTATCTCCACTTAACTTGCACAGTGCTAGATGGAAGGAGTGGCTCAAGTAATAGAGTGCCAGCTGTGAGTGGACAAAAAGAGTGCAAAGCCCTGAGTTCAAGTCCTCATACCAACATAAAAAGAATGCCAGTATAATGTTACTTCCATTAATAATAATAAAGAGAATAAATAGAACTATGGAACCCATTAAAAATGGAACGTTCAGGCTGGATAATTGTGTTTGGAGTCAAGAGGAAAATGACAATCCATTTGGCTTGGGTTTGCTAATTGTGATAGTTAACTATGCTAGGTTTGTTTTTTTTTTTTTTTTTTTTTGCCAGTCCTGGGCCTGAACTCTGTGCCTGGGCACTGCCCCCGAGCTCTTCAGCTCTAGGCGAGCAATCTACCACTTGAGCCACAGCGCCACTTCTGGCTTTTTCTGCTTATGTGGTGCTGAGGAATTGAACCCAGGGCCTCATGCATGCAAGGCAAGTGCTCTACCACTGAGCCACCTTCCCAGCCTGCTAGGTATCTTTTTTAACACCCAGAAATGTGCTCCATATATAAAGAGAGCCAGTTTCTTTTCTTTTTCTTTATTTTTTTTTTGTTCGTCATGGGGCTTGAACTCGGCCTGGGCGCTATCCCTGAGCTCTTCAGCTCAATGCAAGTGCTCTACCACTTGAGCCACAGCACTACTTCCAGTTTTCTAGTGGTTTATTAGAGATAAGAATCTCACAGACTTTCCTGCCCGGGCTGGCTTTGAACCATGATTCTCAGATCTCAGCATCCTGAGTAGCTAGGATTACAGGCATAAGCCACTGGTGCCTGGCAAGAGCCAGTTTCTAAGAGAGTAAAAATGCATCACATTAAAATATTGAATTCTAGAACACTGTATAGACAACTGAGAAGTATATCTATATTTATAGATATATATATACACACCATACTGTACATATGGTAACTGCCTACAGCTGTGATTTAGAAGGACTCACAAATGTACAAAGGTCTTAGCTTGGTGGTTATGAACTACTATTCTTATGGCAAAAGGTTTTTTGAAGACGTTCCGTTTGTGGTAGTTGCTATAAAGAGTCCGAAGGATCTGACACAGTTGTCCAACTTGTTAGGGTTTTGGGCCCTGCACATCTTCAGCAGTTTTATGTTTTTCACATTAGGTTAGATCCTATGAGCTTTGTGTGCATCCACATTACAATAGTGACCCAAGAGGCCTGCAGCCTAGTATGTGCAGATTACAGTCTTGTGTATCATAAAACAGTAGATATGGTGTGAGACTTAGTGCTAGCACACAGGAGGAGATGGGTAACATTACTTGCATGTATATAGGGCCAGGAGAGGCTTAGGGTGCTGTGGAGGTAGGGTTTTAAAGGGTAGATAGGAATTTTCTGCTACATCAAAGCTGGCATGGGTTGGGGTTGCTATCTGGCAGGGTGGCACTCAGTGTATAGAAACACAGATCCAAAGCAGTGATGTGTTTAAGAGATTGGGAGCAGTTGATGGGTACAGAGGATAGACTCATGAAGACCCTGAGCAAATCCAGGGGAGCCACTGAGGGATTTCACTCATAGGAGAAACATTGCTCTACATTCATCTTTGAGAGCAACGTAAGCTCCAAGCCCTGGGACGTGCTTGCCATCTGGAAAACACATCCCCTGTTCCAAGCTTTCCAAAAAGGAGACGCCCCTTTGTCTCTCTTAGATTACCCTTTGTGTGGTAGATTCCTGGGTCCTGTCATCTTGAATTATGGTTGAAATATAAAGGAGTAGAATTAGAACTTACTTCATACTATTCTCTCCATGTTCTGGGCTTATCAGAGTTCCATCCCTAGGGCCTTTAATGGTGTGTCCCAATCTTGCCCCAAGATGTCATCGCACTGTGTTATAGCTACGTGATGTTAGTGGGGCTCCCTCAGCCGGGGAAGGAAGAGGAGGACTGTTTTGCCTCCTACCAACAAGTGTCTTTTCTTTTTCTCTAGCAGGGAGGGTGTGTATGAGATCAGCCTATCACCCACAGGCATATCTAGGTAAGTCAGTGCTCACTAGAAAGTGACTGTAGTTACCAACTTGTAGATTTAAAATAATCTTCTCCTAGCCAGGCCAGTGGCTCACACTTGTAATCCTAACTACCCAGGAGGCTGAGATCTGAGGATTGTGGTTCAACCTGCCAACCTGGGCGTGAGACTTACCTTCAAATAATCATGAGAAAACCAGAAGTGGAGCTATGGCTCTAAGTCATAGAGCCCTAGCCTTAAGCACAAAAGCTCAGGAACAGTGCTAAGGCCCCAAGTTCAAACACCAAGAAAAAAACAAAGAATTCCTTAGAATTCTGCTGGAGTCTGGGTTCTTACAGCCCTGCTCTAGTTATAGAGCTTTTTGTAGCCTCCCCTTTAAGACAAGATTAACAGCCATACAAGACCAGTTGCATTATTTTGGCTACATCTCTCTCATTGTTAACTAGGTGGCTGCTGGCCAGCTTTGGCTCTTTCAAATTAAACACACCTTCAGGGTAAGAGTTTACTGCCAGCACGAGGGGTTTTTGTTTTGGTTTGGTTTTTGGTTTTGTTTTGGTTTTTGGTTTTGTCGTGGGGCTTGAACTCTGGGCTTGGGCGTTGTCCCTCAGCTCTTCACTTCAAGGCGAGCACTCTACCACTTGAGCTCCACAGTGCCACTTCCGGTTTTCTAGTGGTTAATTGGAGATAAGAGTCTCACAGATTTTTCCTGCCTGGGCTGGCTTTGAACCACAACCCTCAGATCTCAGCCTCCTGAGTGGCTAGGATTACAGGTGTGAGCCACCAGCAACGGACCATCACAAGGGTTTTTGAGAGGATATTCTTTTAGAACATTTCTTAGGAAAAGATATCTTAAATTTTAAGCTGAATCAGCATTGTTTTGCCAAAGTCATAAGTAATCCCTGCCATTCCTCTGTAATCCTTCAAAAGACAGCCACTCGTTAAAACAACACAGGCCAAAGTGTCTTGTTTGCTCCCCACAGTAACCTTAGGAGATGAATGTCATTTGAGAAAATCAAGGTGCAGGGAAGATGGTCATTTTCACCCCTTAAATTCTTACTTGACAATAGTACTCAAATTCTTATGTAGTATTTGAGCCAAAATCTACCAGGCCTCTCATATCTCCATCACCAGCCTCCCCGCCACCACCACCCCACCACCCCGCCCCACATCCTTCCTGGCCTCATTGTCTGGATGCGAAAGGAGCTGGTGACAGTGCTGTGGGAGGTTGGCAAGGTGATGTCTTCTCCCGAGTAGAGGAAGGATCCATGAACTCATTTTACTAGTAGTGAAAATCTGACCTGTGTTATCTGTGTTCTGTAGTTGATAATGGTTCTTCCTGCCTCAAGGGTCCGTTTATATCCTGGCTTTGTTGATGTGGAAGAAGCCAACTGGATATTGGAGCAGCTTCACCGAGCTGTTCCCTGGAAACAGAGGGTGGGCGTCCGAGAGGGTGAGTAGAGCTCTGTGAGGTTGCAGTGGCTGTGGCCTGGCCTCCCTCTGAGCATGCTGGGAACACTGCTTTCTCTGCTCACCACAATTAGCCTTCAGCAGAGGTTTAAAACCTGAGAGCCTAAGGAGTAGAACTTGGTCAGTCCCAACGGACAGGAAGGAAACTTTCAGGCAGGAGAAACAGTGTAAGGTGCCCAGAGCTCAGGGAGAAGCCTGCAGAATAGAAGGACCAGAGGAAGCCTGGTAGGACAGCCCTGTGGCTGCTTATTCGTTGCCTCTTATCTGTTCAAGCTGTGCCAGCTTCCTTCTTTCTTCACAGAAGCTTCCAGAAGTTTTTCTTCTGATTCTATTTGGCACTCTTCTTACTGACTTTTTATCTTCTTTTGCTTTCACCAGAAGTGTCCAGGCTTTAGTTTTAGAGTCTGCACTTTTCCTAGCTGATAAAGGTACAAGAGTTGATTGCCTGACTTGTAACCTGCTCCTGTTCTGTAGGCACCCATAAGCAACAGGGCTTGTGATACCACAGGTGGTCACTGGGGGGCGTCTGTGCTCTGGCATAGATGTCCTGTATATTCCTGTGAATTTGAAATTTTTGTAAAGAAAAAAGCAAAGAATCTTTATCACTCACACATTAGGAATCAGCTTTTTTGTGTGTGTGCTGGTCCTGGGGTTTTAACTCAGGGTCTGGATGCTGCCCTAAACTTCTGTGTTCAGCACTCTATCACTTGAGCTACATCTCTCCTTCCAGGAATCAGCTTTTTTCAGGGCAGACTTTTTCCAACTTCCAGATGTTTCTACAGCTGGGATTTTGGTTTCTTACTTTGCTTTCTATATCATTCATAGTGATAACTAATTGTAACAAAATTTCCTTTTAAATTCAGCAAATGCTACCTATTTTATAATGTTGTTGTGTTAATTAAATGAGATAATAAGTGCTTAACAGAATGCCTGGTTTGCAATAAGCCTTCAAGGACTGCCAGCTACTTTTTGTTCTTTTTGTGCTATAAATTGGCCCCAGGACCTTGCACGTGCAAATTGCATGCTTTACCAGTGAGCTGCACTCCTAGTCCTGCTTCTATTTTCATTGTATTCTTTCTGTATTGATACCATCTGTGGGGAAATAGCACATATCACAGACTTCTGACTAAAATTAGCTACATTGCTAGAGTTGGTCTGAGTACTTTTTCCTCTCATTTGGAATCAGAAGTTTACACAACATTGGATACATGGATGAGCAGTTTGTTTAGTTTTCACATGGACATTGGTCCCACAAATTCCTGCTGACAATAGTCCAAGTTCCACATCCTGCTTTGAGAAACATGTTCACGTCACATACATCCTCATCTCAGAGCCTTCTTCCAGACTGTTTCTGCCCCATACCTTCCCTTATTCTTCTTTAGAAGCCTTCCCCATTCTCCTCACCAAATCCCACATCCTCTGTGAGGCGGCCTGGAGTCAGCACCCAGCCTTCTCTTCCTTGGAGTTTCTCAGAGCTTCTTGCCAAGTGCTGGCTCATACTTGACTTGCAGTGGGTCCACCTGAAGTAGCACTAAACTGTCTCAAGAGCCCTGTATTTTCTTTCTTAGATATAACTTATCTTCAGCCAAGACTTACAGCATGGTATGGAGAACTTCCTTACACTTATTCAAGAATCACTATGGAACCAAATCCTCACGTATGTTGGAATATTGTCATTGCTATGGTTTTATAGACTATGTATTATTAGGTTTTGGATACTAACAAGTAAAAAGCACTAAGCTGGCAGAGATACTTGATACTTCTCAAACATTGAGGCTTTGTGGATATGTGGAGTGTGTGTGTGTGTGTGTGTGTGTGTGTGTGTGTGTGTTTGTGTGTGTGTGTGTGTGTGTGTGTGTGTGTGTTGGTGCTGCTAGGGTTTAAACTCAGGATCTGTGCTTTCTAGACAGGCACTCTACCACTTGAGTTGTGCCTCAACCTTTTTTTGCCTTTGACTATTTGTTAAATAGAGTCTCACATTTTGGCCTGAACCAGCATAACTGTAATCTTCCTGCCTCTGCTGCCCATGTAGTAGCTGGGATTGCTGCTATGTACCACCACTCCTGGCTTACTTTTTTTGATAGGGTCCTGCTAACTGCTTTTTATTAGGGCTTCTATGTTCTTCTCTCTGCTTCTCACATAGCTGAGATACCAGGCATATGACACCATGCCTCACTGCTTTTTGTGCATGAATTCAGAGGCTAAACTTAGTTTACTCTGGGGCTAGAGCAAACTATAAGTACGAGAGGCGAGGATTTTAGGAACATGAACTATTGCTCCTCCTGATAGCCCCTCCTCAAGCCTTTTTGGCTGAAACCCTCTGTATGCACCCTGGATGCATTTGCTATGCAGTGAGTCAGAATGCCTTTTTCCATTTCTCACACTCTTTGTGCTATTTGTGAGGAAGAAAAAAAAAAAATCTGGTGTTTTTGTGTTGTTGTCACTAACTTTGCATTAATTCTGTGGATACGGAGTTCTCAGACATCTAATTTATTACTGCCTTGGCTTGTTTCTGGTGCTTCTTTTGTTTTTCAAAATTTCCATGACAGTAGGCAAAGATATTTTCAGATATAAATTAAGCTTGTCCAGAGGGTAGAGTTAAGGTCCAAGAAATAGCTCCCTATTTAGTTCCTGGAATCTTGCCTTTGGCAAACAATATTATGTGTTATTGAAAGAGACTTTGAAGAAAATGGAATTTTGCTTACTGGGTTCAGATGCACAAAAATGTGACATGTTGAGAACTTCTAGCAATACAGATAAGCATAGACTACCACTCTACAAAGACATTCAAAAATCAGACATGGCTTCTGACACAGGGAGATGAGGCCTAGTGTCTAGGGCTTGCTTCTTGGCATGTTTAAGTTTTAAGGCTGAGTTTAGAATATAGTCTAGAGAAATGTGAAGACCCTTTTGTGTGAGATTGGTATTGAATTAGGTCTATCCAGTAAGCTACTGTCTTTGTTTCTATTGAAATTATTTTATTTGCTTGTCAAGTTGTAGCAGAGAGGTTGAGAGATAGACAGGCCAGAGGGATGAAGGGTTTTTGTTTTTGTCATTCATTCTGGTTATCTTTCAGAACATATTTCTCAGTTCCTGTGCTGTTGATATTTGGGGCAAGATTAATTGTTTGTCATGAAGATGTCCTGTGCACTGTAGCATATTTACAAGTATTTGTGACCTCTGCTCACTGGATACTACAGGCCAGTGGCATTTCTCATGTAATCTTGACAGCCAAAAGTGACTCCAAACATTGCATACAGGTCTGTTGGAGCATGATTGTCCTGGGCTAGAATAACTGCTTTCAAGTACACATAAGTCACAGAACTTGCTTAATAAAGTAGCTTTTTCCTGTCTCATTTTAGCAGCATTTTTTTTATCATTCTTCAAAAAGAATTTTTTAATGACAGGTTTTCTTTTTCAATTAATATAAAGAAAATATACACACTATGGAAGATTTAGAAATTACAGATAAGCAGGAAGAGAAATGTTAAATTTTTTGGTCTTGCTTCCACTTTATGTTTTAGTTCCAATTTCTTTTTAGGGCTATTTTTTTCAGTACTGCGGTTAGAATTCAGTGCCTCACTCTTGCTAGACAAGCATTCTACCACCTAAACTATGCCCCCAGTACAGAGGAATTTTTTGTGTGTTACATACTCAATTTATTAGGTCTACATCTTAAAATTTTCCAGAGTTTAATTTTTTTAATTTCATTTTTTATTATCTTTAAATAGTTGTCCAAATGGATTTCAGTGAAACTTCTGAGTACAATTCAACTTACGAATACAGTGTATATTAGTGTTAACCTCTTCATGATTTTTCCCCCATCTCAACCACATCCAACCCCCAAGTTAACCTGGTTCCATTTTCACATACATACATTGAGTATTGCGAACATAGTCACCTATTCCTGCCTCCATCCACCCTCTCATCCCTTGTAGCATCAGTTTCTTTAGGTAAAATATATTCTAGCTTCCCAGTATTAACTTTTTTTAGACTGTCAATTGTTTAAGAGGAGATATTATAGAAATGTATCCCTGCGCATACCATAGTTTAGTCAGTTTGTATGTATGCATATGTCCCTCTATGTGTTTTCATAGATGTTTATATTTTAGATCTAACTTGAGAATCATTTTTCCTATTAACATGCAAGCAAACTGGCTTAGCCCTTGGTAGGCTGAGGAGGATCAGAAGTTCTAGGCCAGTCTCGGCTACATAGCAAGACCCTGTCACAAAGAAACACAAACAGAAACAAATTAGACAAATAGAAAGTTAGGTATGCTATGTTTTATTGACTGTTTTAGTATCACTAAATATTCCTCTACCAATATGTAATAGCCACAAGTTTAAGCATATTAAAGTTATCAAATCAGAATTATTTAATCTGGAATTTGTGTGTCTATTTGCTAATATATTTGGTTCCTTGATTTACTTCTTAAAGTCTAAAGAATTGCTCCTCTCAGATTTCTTTAAAGCATTAATGTGTGTACATGTAAGTTGTTGATCAGTTTTAAAGTTGTTCTATAACAGTATTAGATTCAAATCATAGGTAGACTTTTTCTACCTCCTTCTCCTTCACTTCCCCCTCCTCGTCCTCCTCTTCTTTTTTTAGAGACTGGGTTTTGCTATGTAGCCTGGGCTGACCTGGAACTCCTGCTTCAGCCTCCTGAGTGATAGCATTTCAGATGTCATGTGCCACCATGGCTGCTTCAACCATAGGTTTTTTCTTTCTTTTTTTTTTTTTTGGTCGGTCGTGGGGCTTGAACTCTGGGTCAACCATAGGTTTTTTAATTTGTTTTAGTCCTTATTCAGACTAAAGGTTATATGAACCCACCATATCACACATCACAACATTGACTGCTTGGGAGACTTGCAGCCTGACTTCTTTGTCCTGCCACAGACCCAGAGCCACCCCTCCACAAAACACCATGTGAATTAAAAAAAAAAAAAAAGTGAAAGAAAGATGATAGACCAAAGCTAAAAAAAAATCACCATGTAAAATCTTTTATGACTGTTTTTTATATTTCCTCACATTCTTTCTCAAATGTCTTTTGAGGATAGAATGTCTTCACTGAATAGTGACATGATGCTGAATTTTAATTTAGACATTCAGTTCTGAAGGCTCTGTATATAGAGTATCAGTTAGAGTCTAAATTAATCGTCTGGTTCATTATCCTCCCTTTTTTCCCTTTCTCTGCACTTCACTACCAAAAATAACCAAGAAAAAATATATACCCACTTAGAAACATAATGCATTTGATGTTACCACAGCACTCAATCCTCAAGCAAGTCAGAGAAGTGCTAATTAGATTCTCGGTCACACTGTAGAAATTCTCTCTTCTCCTTTACATTCTTGTTTTTCTTGTCAAGTATATAATTCTACCATCTGATCTTATCTCCATGAAGATAAATTTGTGTAATGGGTAGGAAATATGACTCACCTACATAATTATTAGAGTTTTACTTTAGAAAATCTCTTGAACATGGGTTAGCTTAATGACATTTTTGTTTCATTGATCTAAGGTGTTTTTTGTTGTGACTACTTTTTTTTTTAACAACTTTCTGCTTAACCGGTAGTGCTCATAATCACCAAAAGGTGATCAGCTTTAACCTTGCCCTCCCTGTCACAGTAAAGCTGAGAGCCGCTCACTTGTGTAGTGTTGTGGGCACTAGGCATGGAAACTGTTTGATAATAATAATATGCATTCCTTTCCTGAACTACACCTATCCCATCACTAGTAGACATACAACCTGACATCCAGGGAGATCTCTAAAATAGCAGGTGATAAAGTATAAACTTGGATACCTGGATGGGTCCATAAACCATTTCTGAGCTCAGATCCACAAATCTGCTTTCATAGCAGTACTAAGATGTGCAGTGTTTATACCCTGGGTTGAATTGGTACTAATGGTACAAAGTACCAATGGGTAATATGGTGGTTCCTTAACACAAATCATATCATCATCACCAAACTCAACTAGTCACCGTGTTCTTCACTTCCACTTTAAAGTGTAAAAAAAGAAAATGCTGATTTTATTTAGGGCTGTCCCTTGACGAAGCAGTAAACATCATTAGTTTTTTTATTAAATCCTGGCCTCTGAGCACTTTTTGATGACATGGAAAGTATGCATCAAACCCCTCTGCTCCCATCCCAAGTGTAGTGTTTGAGCCAAGCTGTAAACTTTTTTGTGGACTATGTTTATTAAGAACAACTGGCAAACAAACTGGTTCTTCAGACATGAATGTCTTAGCAGGTATTTTTTTTTCATAATTGTATAACAGTGACACTTCAAGGAAACTAGTGGGCTGGATTCATTCATTACTTACTGGTGACCAAAGTTGAGTTTTTTTACAAAAGTTTGATTTTGGAAAACTAGTGTGCATCTTTAAGCCTGGTCTTTTCCTATTATTTAGATTTTTCTGATAAAATCACTGTTGGTATTCACAGATGTGATTTTTTTGTAGTTGTTATTGTATGAGTTGTATTAATATTTAGAAGATCTGTGTAACCCTGAACTGATATTTTCCAGATGACCAGTGGTTGATGTTAAGGAAAATCTTTGAAAGGGTTCTAAACTGCATATTGAGATGAAACTAATTTGCTTAATATTTCAACAAAAACATTTTAAAAGATAGAGTGTGGAAGCAGTTATAAGAATCAACTCTTGCCAGACACTGGTGGCTCATGTAACCCTAGTTACTCAGGAGGCTGAGATCTGAGGATCACAGTTTGAAGCCAGCCTGGGCAGAAAATCCCTGAAACTAATCAACCAGTAATAAAATAGAAGTGGAGGTGTGGATCAAATGGTAGAGTACCAGCCTTCAGTTTAAAAAAAAAGGGGGGGAGGGGCTGGGGGTTTAGCCCAGTGGAAGGGCGCCTGCCCGGCACACGCAAGGCCCTGGATTCTGTCCTCAACCCTGGAAAAAAAAAAAAAAGCTTCAAGTTCAAGCCCCCATACAAGCACTAAAAAAAAAAAAAAAAAAAACCTTTCATGTCAGGTCAGACAATAACAAGATTTGCAAAGCAGTGCTATTGTTCTCATCAGTTTTTTGTTTTGGAAATTATAGTTATATTTTCATCCAGACAAGAATGTGTGTTCACATGTATTGGATTTGTTGTTGCATTGTAAGTGAATTAGCCAGTAGTTGAACTTTCTACACCCTTGTCTATTCATTTGTGGTACTAGGGTTTGAACTCAGGGCCTTGCACTTGCTATCAGGCACCTTACCACTTGAACTATGCCCCCAACTCTTTTGCTTTTGCTATTTTTCTATTAGGGTCTTGCTTGGGCTGGCCTAGACCACAGTCTTCCCGCTTATGCATCTTATGTAGCTAGGATGATAACTCTGTCCACTATGTCCAGAGATGGAGGCAGAGGGTAGGGAGAGGGGTCACAAACTTTTTTACCTGAGTTGTCATAGAACTGTAATCCTCCTGATCTCAGCTCCCTGAGCGGCTGGAATTACAAGCATGAGCTCGGATTAGTGGTGTGAGCCTCTTTACTCAAATCTGTTTTAATTTTTAATGTGGTAAATTTCCATAATCAAAAGCCATCAAAATAAAGGATTTTAATAGTATTGGTCCTGAAATGCATATAATACACACTTGAGATTCCTGGCAAGACAGAATTCTTCAAGAACCAGTACAAACTATGCTGACTGTAGCTCCAGTATAATCCAAAGTGAGGGGTCACAGCTCCCGATAGTATGCGTGGCTGAAGATTCCAGATACAAGCTGTGCCTGCGTGCTCTGAACAGAAGACTCAAACTGGGAAATCTGATGAAGTCTTCTATATGTTGTGGTCCTCACTTTGTCAAGAACCTGTCATGATTCCCATTGTGTAGAAAAGTGTTTATCCCCTTCAGGATCTGGTTTCAGGAATTTAGCCACTCAAAATATGAAACGCCTTTTTGCAAAGAGCATTCCACCATTGAGGATAAAGTAGGAAAAGAATAAGCAGAGGCCACCCTGCAGCAAAGTTCTTTGTCTTCAGACTACAGGGCCACACATCACCCTCTGGGCCCTTCTGGCCTCCTTAGTGATTTCCAGGGGACTGTCCTCACTTGACTGTATGGACCTTTGCTTTGTGAGGGGTACACATGTAATGTGAAAAGCAAGATGGGTGGCTAGGTCCTGGTCTTGACATTGCCCTTCTGCATTTACTACTTTGATAAGATTACAGGGGTTGGCTTGTTTCAAAGTAGACGTGATGGAGGGAATTAATTGAACTTCCCACCTTGCCGTGTTGACTGCATTGCATGTGTTTCACGTATTCACACCCCCTGGCTTGTTGCTGCAGTGGCCCCCCGTGCTGAGCACCCTAAAGAACCGTATCGAAGAGAACACTGGCCACACCTTCAACTCCCTGCTCTGCAATCTCTACCGAGACGAGAAGGACAGTGTGGACTGGCACAGCGATGATGAGCCTTCACTGGGGACCTGCCCCGTCATTGCATCACTTAGTTTTGGGGCCACGCGTACTTTTGAGATGAGGAAGAAACCCCCACCTGTGAGTTCCTGTTCGTTCTCTCTCTTCTTCCTCCTTTCTCTTTCTCTCTCCCTTCCTCCTATAGCTCCCCTACCCCAGCTTCTCAACACTCCCTGTTTCCTATTCTTCTGTGAACAAAATAGACCGTCTAAAAGCTCCTGTTCCTGGATATGGAGGACAGGAGTACTTGTGGAAGGTTTTTTTTTTTTTTTAATTTTTTTGGGGGGGGTCCGATCGTGGGGCCTGAACTCTGGGCCTGGGCCCTGTCCCTCAGCTCTTCAGTCAAGGTGAGCACCCTACCACTTGAGCCACAGCACTACTTCTGGTTTTCTAGTGGTTGATTGGACATAAGAGTTTCATAGACTTTCCTGCCCGGGCTGGCTTTGAGCTGAGATCCTCAGATCTCAGCCTCCTGAGTAGCTAGGATTACAGGTGTGAGCCACCAGTGCCTGGCTAGTACTTGTGTATTTTTGATGATACATTTTCAACTGATTTCAAGATCTCATTCATTCATCCATTTATCCAGCAGTTGGGAATTGACCCCAGGGTCTTGTCCATATTAGTCAAATGCCTTTTTCACTAGGCTACATCCTCATTACCCTTTTAATTTTGGTGTGTGTGTCTATCTGCTTGATTTTTGAGACTGTTTCTCTCTCCATGTAGCTCAGGCTGACTGAAACTCATGATCCTCCTTTCCTCAGCTTCTTGAGTATTGGGATTATAGCATGTACCACTAAGCCCAGATTGGGACTCAACTTCTACCTACAGGAAGGACAGACACAGTCCCCATCCAAATGGGAGCATATCTAGTGGGGGTAGGAAAATACTGTCAATTACTCAGACACAATTACTGTAAATTCTGTGATGGAGGACTCACAGAAGGGCAGCTCAAACTAGTGGGGGCCAGGCTCAGTAAGCTGAACCCTGCAGAAGCCCTCATTTTCAGTGCTCTGTATGGCAGCATGGACACGCTTTTGTGAATGTTACATGCTTTCTTATCCTCCTAGCCTTCTGAAGGATGTTGAGCCTATAGCCCCTTCAGAGAGAGAAAGGACCAGCCAAGTTACCAGCGAGCATGGCTTCATTACATTTGAGGAATAATAGCATTATTCATTTTAGATTTTCTCTCTTTTTAAATGTGAGCTCAGAGCAAATGCTCTACCATTGAACTACCTCCCTCTAATTTTTGTTTTAAATTAGAAGTATAAAGCCGGGCGCCGGTGGCTCACACCTGTAATCCTAGCTACTCAGGAGGCTGAGATCTAAGGATCACTGTTCAAAGCCAGCCCTGGCAGGAAAGTCCATGAAACTCTTATCTCCAATAAACCACTAGAAAACTGGAAGTGGCGCTGTAGCTCAAGCGGTAGAGCGCTCGCCTTGGGCTGAAGAGCGCAGGGACAGCGCCCAAGCTCAGAGTTCAAGCCCCACAACTGACCAAAAAAAAAAAAGTATAGAATGTTAGGACAAAGGTAGAAAGATAGTAGGAACTCCATAAGAGTAAACTTCATCAAACTATTCTATTTCCAGAGAGAGAGGTAGGTGTGTGCGCGCGTGCGTGCGTGTGTGTGTGTGTGTTCTTAACCAAGATTTCTGACTTGAACGGGGAGCGCCCACTGGCTGTGAGGAATGTGACCTAATACAGACCACATCACAGCTAGCGCTCAAGTCCATTCCTCACCAGATATCCTTCCTGAGAACAGAATTAGTGAGCCTAACTTAAACATCTTCCTGACATGTATCTGGGTTCCTGTCTGTGGTGTTTTGCATATATGCCATCAAGCATCGTTTATTGATGTAATTCTATTGATTAGGTTTTGTTTGCTTTGTTTATACTGAAACGTTGGTCATTGTTGGCAGGGGATTGTCAGTTGCCAGCATCTTATTAAGTTAACATGTTCCCTGAGCAGTGAACAGCCTGTGCAGTGTCAGTGACCAGAAGCTTCTCAAGTGCAGAGAAGTATGACCTCTGGGAGTCAGAGTCTCAGCCTTAGCTATAGTGTTTTCAGTATGGTTAGGCTTTGGTTGCATGAAATCCTGAGTTTGCACGTCAGGAATTTATCCTGCCCTTAGTAAGCCTCATGTTTTATTAATGATAGTGAGAGACATTATGTGTCTCATTATTCACGTTCAGAGCCTCTTCTCAAGTCAGACATGGAGTGTCCACTTCTTGCCAGAAGTAGCCCCGGAAGCTAGGGCTGTAGCAGTAAGTGGGCGAGATCCCTTTTCCCTCCAGGAACCCCCTGTACCTGTTGTGTTGGTGCTGCTCATCCTCCCAGCTCTCCCTCTGCACTTGGGAGGACATGAGACATACAAGCTGTGCTGTATGTAACCTTCTCCATAATCTTGCTCTTCACTTCTTCACAGTTACTTTCTTTGTTGCTAAGCATTTAAGTCTTCAGTTACTATTTCTTTACACCCTTCTATTTCTTTTTTTTTTGGGGGGGGGTCCGGTCATGAGGCTTGAACTCAGGGCCTGGGCACTGTCCCTCAGCTCTTCAGCTCAAGGCTAGGGCTCTACCACTTGAGCCACAGCACCACTTCCGGCTTTTTTTTCTTTTTGCATATGTGGTGCTGAGGAATCGAACCCATGGCCTCATGCATGCAAGGCAAGCACTCTACCACTGAGCCACTTTCCCAGCCCTACACCCTTATATTTCTGCCACCACTTTTTGAAAAATATCTAGGTCCTATTTATAGAGGGGTGTGTCTGTATGTGTATGTGTACGTGTGTACATATGTATGTGTGTAAGTACATGTACATCAATACCAGGGCTTGAAACTAGGGTCTTGTGCACTCTGGCTTGCTCACAGCTGTTGCTCTATCACTTGAACACACCCCTAGTCTAGCATTTTGCTGTTTAAATGGAGATGGAGTCTTGCAAACTTTAATGCCTGGGCTGGCTTTGACCACATGTGCCATCAGCACCCAGTTCAACAAGTGTTAACTTTTGAAAAGACTGCTTCAAGTTTCATGAGCAGATTCCAGAAAACCTGGGGATCCATAGTTATGACTAAGCTAGCAGTGAGGATGCCTTGACAGCCACAGACATACTTTTTTTTTTCTTTTTGCTGGTCATGGGGCTTGAACTCTGGGCTTGGGTGCTGTCCCTGCACTCTTCACCTCAAGGCAAGCATTCTACCCCTTGAGCCACAGCACCACTTCCGGTTTTCTAGTAGTTTATTGGAGATAAGAGTCTCATGGACTTTCCTGCCTGGGCTGGCTTTGAACTGTGATCCTCAGATCTCAGCCTCCTGAGTAGCTAGGATTACAGGCATGAGCCACCAGCGCCTGGCTCATAGAAATACTTCTTAGGGTATGTGCATCTTAGTGTTTTTTCTGAAGGACTAAAGGGAAAAAGTTATTGTAAATCTGTCTACTTTTCTTTCTAAACTCAGGTGGTAGCTCTGAGAGCATGCCTTATGATTCATATAATCCAAGGTGAAAGTATACATTAGATTTATCTTCTTTGTGGAGTTTGTGGGAGTCTGGCATTCTGTAATTCTTAGGGACCCAGCTTAGAAAGCCACTACAGAATGTAATTTTCATGTCTGTCAACAAGACATCTGAGATATATTGACAGTGTGGGAGGACATCTTTTGAACTCCTATTAGCTTTGACCTATCAGTGAGTGTAATACTATTTAACTTGAGTCACAGTTCCTCATATGAAGCAGACAAAGGGGTGGTGAGATGTCCTGCACTTCTATAAGATATGCAGTTTTAATACAAAGCTTTTGCTTTAGACTCCCTTTAGACAAACTCCTTCTCTCTCACCCCTGCAGCCACTGTGTGTTTCACAGTCTGGCACCTTGATCAGCTGCTGATATTCTGTAAGCTGCTCCAGTTCTCTGCATCATTTTGCTCCCCGCTTCCTCTGTGCTGAGATGGTAGAGAACTCTGTACTCCCCAAGCACCTTTCTAATGCATGCATTGGCACAGTCAGCTTCAGCAGCGTACATATTTTATCCTGGGATTAAGCATTGCCCTCTCTTGAGCTGCCTGGCCTTCTCCCACTGTTCTTCCAGGCCAGGTCTATCCGCTCTTTTTTTTTTTTTTTTGGTGGGTCATGGGGCTTGAACTCTGGGCTTAGGCGCTGTCCCTGCACTCTTCAGCTCAAGGCAAGCACTACTACTTGAGCCACAGCACCACTTCCAGTTTTCTAGTGGTTTATTGGAGATAAGAGTCTCATGGGCTTTCCTGCCCAGACTGGCTTTGAACCGTGATCCTCAGATTTCAGCTTCCTGAGTAGCTAGGATTACAGGTGTCAGCCATTGGCACCCAGCTGGTCTGACAGCTCTTGCTCACTGTTTTTTTTTGTTTGTTTGCTTTTGTTTTTGTTACTTTGTTTTGTTTTGTTTTTGGCTGATCCTGAAGCTTGAACTCAGGGCCTGGGTGCTGTCCCTGAGCTTCATTTGTTCAAGGCTCTCTACCACTTGAGCCAAGGCTCCACTTCTTATTTGTTTTTTGTTGTTGTTGTTGGGGGGGGGTTGGTAATTTATTGGAGATAACAATATCATAGACTTTCCTGCCTCTGTTGGCTTTGAACCAGGATCCTCATATCTCAGCCTCCTGAGTAGGTAAGCATGAGCTACCAACACCGGCTTGCTTACTTATTTTGATTTTTTTTTTTTAATACTAGTAGTGAGGCTTGAACTCCAGGCCTAGACTCTGCTACCACTTGAGCCACAGCTACACTTCTGGCTTTAGTTTGCAAATCAGAAGATCAGAGTCACACAGACCTTCCTGCCTGAGCTGGGATTACAAGAGTAAGCCATTCAGCCTGCCTTATTTTGGTTTTAGAGTAAATATCATTTCTTTTCATGATAATAGGGTACTTGGGGATGTAGGAGATTTATTTGGTTTTGTTCTTTTGTTTACCCTAGCCCTTCAGTATGTTTCCTATCTGATACCAAGGGAAGAACACCTTGGTTGTATTCTGGCTGATACCAGACTCAACTGTCCCAGGATCTAGGCAGAGCTGAACAGGCACACTTCAGTAGATCTTTTGTATTTGTTCAGGG